TGTAAAACATACTGATAGCATTGATTGCAAAAGGATTTCTAAACGTCTGAATGTTCCAGTGAGCACTGTTGGGGGCGATAATTCAGAAGTGGAAAAATTATATTTCACCATAAACCGACCACAACCAGGTGCTCCTTGCAAGATTTCTGACAAAGGAGTGAAAAGAATTATCAGAAGAGTTGTCCAAGAGCCAAGGGCCACTTGTGGAGAGCTTCAGAAAGACCTGGATTTAGCAGGTACCATTGTTTCAAAGAAAACAACATGCAATGCACTCAACCACCATGGCCTGTATGCACACTTACCACACAAGACTCCACTACTGAAGAAAAATCATGTTGAAGATCGTTTAAAGTTTGCTGCACAACATTTAGACAAGCCTGTGAAATACTGGGAGAATATAGTCTGGTCAGATGAGACCAAAGTTAAACTCTTTGGATACCATAATACAAACCATGTTCGGAGGTCAAGTGGCACTGCACATCACCCCAAAAACACCATAGCAACAGGGAGTTTGGAGCTGGGAACATCATGGTTGGACGGCGGCTGCCATCTTGGTACACCTGTTCCTATGTATTTTATTACCAATGCTTGTATGGGTCTGATAGCCTGATTTTAAAAGTTGAGTATTCTATACCTCGTTTGTATACATTAAACATGGACGTATTACACTGGGAGATGTCCTTTTATCTTTTTTTGAACACAGACTTCTGATGAGGAATTGGAGAAGGTCCAGTACAGGGGCGGACTGACCATTTGGAAACTCGGGCACTGCCCGAGGGCCCGGGGTCAGTAGGGGGCCCCATGAGATGCCCCTGGTGCCTTTTTTATAGGCTTTTTTGAGTTTGGGCAAGGACACAGGGGCCCCTTGATCCCCTATTGCCCGGGGGCCCCATGAGTTGTCAGTCCGCCACTGGTCCAGTAAAGTACACTTACAGAGGAGAGCTGGATGGATTTCGGGTTGATATTAAAGCGCAATACTTATTTTACCTGCTGTATATACAGTATAGGTGAGAATGTGGTGCTTTGGTGGACCTAACACTATGAAGAGTGGATTTGGTGCACTAAAGTGTTCCACAACAGTATGCAGTGCTGTGCTGCTAACAAGGGCAAGTTTGCTTCACAATACTGATCTTGAAAAAAATTCTCTCAGTTCCCCATTAGGCTTCACCAACCCAGCAGGTGCTGAGGTCACAGAGACTAGTCCTCCATCAATTTCACCTCCCCTGTCATTTAAGAATTGCCTTTTGTTGGGTAATTACATCACCACTATCCCCAGCCTAGAGAGGCCTTTAGAGGTCTAAACTTAGTGAACTAACATAATCTGAGTCAAATTCTACTTTGACCTTAAGTGGAATTATAGGCTAAATCTAACTAGTCTTAAAAAGTTTATTTCCCCCTCCTAACACCTATTCTGGCTAACCTGGGTAGGAAAAATATATATACTTACCAATTTTCAGCCTGCTCCAGTCCAGTCACGTGATCCCAAATGTAAGCCAGCAGCAGCTGCAGGGTAGGATGAGAGCACTCAACAACGGTTGGCAAGGCCTGGAGCAATGATGTCATCCATACGTTTTTAAGGCCCATCTGTTGTTGATGCTCCCTCCTCTCCCCTGCAGATGCTGCTCACTGCCACAGGGGAGCCAGGTCACGTGATCAGATTGAACTTGGCTGAAAACAGAAAAGTGTCAGATCACTTTTCAAAGATGTTTGACAGGTACTGCACCTCTGCATATACACATAGTTGCAGAATGGTTGTGGCACGGCTTCATTCACTTGAAAGAGTCATGGTCATCAGCATTACTGTCTTATCAACACAACAGGAAGTTCAATTTTGCAGCGTGGCTACACCCTCATCCTGCTGCCTTTGCAGCTTGAGGAGGGAAGTTGGGAGGGGGGGGTGTAATCGTGGCACAATTGTTTTTACCACCCCCCCAGCCCAGCCACAAGTGTAAAAAAGTCCTTACTGAAGAATATGCACTGTCAGTTGAAGGATAGTCCAACTTCACCAAAAAATATGGCACATCAATAGAGGAGTAACCATACAGCTGTGTGTCCTGGGAAGCCTATATTACAAATCTTGTTAGTCCTTTTTAAAATCTCTTTCCTTTTATTTCCCAATGTATAATATTGCCCCCACCCCACAGGATACCGCCCCCATTCCCAGTCTTCTGTGGATATCCCTGCACTTCAGGAATGTGGGTAAAATCTTTCAACTGTGGCAATAGGCAGAGATTCTAAATCTTTTCATTCTGCTCTCAGAATTTGCTGTATCCTTTCCAAATCCTTCTCCTTCAAGCACCACTTCTATCAGGCTCCTCATAAGATCACACCTGCCTGTATACTCACTGATGCCAGTTATGTCTTACTGATTGTACCAGTCTATTAGTTTGGAAAAACACAAGTGCTCATTAAACAAAATCTAAAACGTTGCCAGTACTTACTGCAAACGAGTCATCTCCAGTAATATGTCTGTGCACCCTACAAGCTAACTGTATTGACTGGATTGAAAGAAGGTATAAATGGTAGTTGAAAAGAAAGTTTCACCGATGCTGAATTTCAAGAAATCAAGTCAATGTCTTTTTTAATTTTTAAAGGAGAAGTTTGGGGTACTAAAAAAAAAACGAATGTAGCACCCTCCTAGGTAGGCGCTAGCGTTAGATAGATATAATTAGTTGTGTTTTTGATAAATTTAGTTGTTACAAGGTAGTCAGAGTGGCTGTAAATATTTGTTAGGAAAAAGTATAGTTCTCTCACTGTACCTGGTGAGCTGTGATCATTAGTTAGGTCTGCTCTATGTGTTTTAGAAGTTTCTGGATGATAGGCTTGGATTTATGCAGATGGCAGTATGAATATTGATACAGCCTCAGCCTATCCCAGAAAAACTGGCTCTGATGGCATGCTGGGCAACTGTATATATTCAGTGAGCACACAGGACTCTGGGTCTTTCCTGTTTAGTATTGTTCCAGCCTGGAAGAGGGCAAGTTGCCCTCCCAGACAACTACTACGATGCGGCCTCAGGTGGGCAACCTGAGAGCCTGAATGCTGAGACATGGATTCTTCTATGCTGACTGAGGAGCTGTCTACCGAAGATCTGGTCTGGTATCATGCTGGAAGGCATCCAGCTGCTCTTGGGCCTTGTGAGTAGATGCTGAGTGCTGTTTAACCCCCTTTGATGCTAGGTAGTCAGCTGCAGGTCTAGCAAAGGGAATACCGGCTGGTGGTCTGAGGAGTTTGTCCACCTGGCCTACTTTTAAAGGGACACTGCTCTGGGGCTCTAAAGAAGTTACTACTACTACTACTACTACTACCACTGTTACTACTACTGTCTTAAAGCTGAAGTCCACTGTTTGATTTAAGTACGGACTCTGACATAGCTTACCCTGAAGATTAGATAAAGTGCTCAAGTGTACATAGTTCCTATTTTTGGAATATCCCACTCATCTCCTTCATCCCTATCCAGCTTGTCCAAAAATAAAAACAACACCCGTAGACTTGTTATTTGAGAAATGTGTGAATGAACCTATGTGCCTGGCTGTGGAGGAAAACCCTTTTGGGGAAGACCTGGACAGTGTTCCTGTTGCTCCTACACAAACATACATACTCACTTCCCTGCTGCAGCATTGTTCAGATGACCCTGCCAATTCTAAGACTGAGAACTAAGCGATCACATGACCAAAGACCACTGATCACTCCAGTTCCTGGTCAGCTCTCAGCAGAGATCAGTGACTGTCAGTTACCACTCTATCACCGAGCTGGTGAGGGGGTGGGAGCAGCTGGCTTCAGCTTTCGGCCATATGCTGGAGCCAGCTGTCAATCAGGCAGCTGTGTGGATCCCAACATTATTGTCAGTATCCTACTAGAAACTGGAATGGCTCTGTTACCTTAACTGACAGCAGGCTTTAGCCAGCTTTCATACAAATATTTGTGAATAAGGTTGTGATACAATCCACCAATCGTGTTCAAGTCCACATAAACAGTTCAATTCAGTGAGAGCAGATTTTGTGATAGAAGATAACTCCACCAAACCCCTATTTGGGCACACACTCACCCTATAGATTGACCCTCATTAGAAAGGTAATAATGTGCCTTTAACCACTTGCCAACCACACTATAGCCGAATGACAGCTAAAGCGCTATATAATTATAAAATGCAGTGCTCAAATATTATTAAAGTGAAGAAGTGATAAATGCGCAAAATTATGCGCTAGTAAGTGATACAAAAAGTGATGTCTTAATTAAGACAGTAAATATTATAAAGTGACAATTGTATTATGTAAACACATTACATCGCATAAATATACTGCATAAATATAAAAATAAAAATAAAAAAGTTCATTAAAGTTTTCAGAAAGGTGCGTCAGTATTCCCAAATAGGAAAATATCAATCATTCCCATTCAACTTCCATCACATAATAAGGTGCTCGTGACTTCCGTGATAGGCAAAAAAAGGGGTGTGCTTGCACTCACCAGACGTAAAATATTTTTACGCATGTAGTATATAGGGCACTGGTGGTCATCTGGAACCCGCTGGGGATGTGGCACTCCGACGGCGCTCTGTTATACCCAGGGAATGTACTCCGGACCTCTCAGTGGACCCTCTCTGGTTGTAGAAACTGCCTACAGGTTTCACTTACACCCGGCAACAGGTAAGTTCAGCATCAAAATGAGATCCACTTTAAGTAGCCCAAATAAGCCACCAGGACAAAAGGCTGATATAGTGTAGTATATTTTATTCAGCCAGTGTTGATAATCACATATCAGGTAGCTTCTATAACATCCAGTGTGTTAGCAGCAAATAGTATCAGCTATTAGGCAAGCAGCTATATGCAACATCCAGTGTGATAACAGCATCAGCTACAGGTAAGTATGCGCAGGTAGAACATGCATGAATTTCAAATTTCCAAGATGGCCGCTGGCCAGACACGTGGCTCCAGCAGCAGAGCTGATCACGTGATGAGGTAAAAGGCTAATCACAGCAGCCTTTTACCATGTGATCAGCTATGTCCAATGACACAGCAGATCACCAAGTAAATACAGTTGCCAGTTATCAGCAGCACTTTCCTCACACTGTCACAGCTTGAGGAATGTACTGCCGATAGCCGGCAATTGTCAAAGAGCAAATCGGCACTGATGATCAGTGCCCTGCATTGCTGCCCAGCAGTGCCTCCCACAAATGTCCAGCAGTGCCTCCCACCAGTGCCCATCAGTGCCACTCATCAGTGCTGCCTACCAGTGCCCAGCAGTGCTGTTAGTCAGTGCTGTCAGTCAGTGCCACCTGTCAGCACTACCCATCAGTGTCGATCATCAGTGCCACCTATCAGTGCCCATCATTGTTGCATATCAGTGCAGCATCATCAGTGCCTCCTCATCAATGCCCACCAGTGCTGCCTCATCAGTGCCACCTCTTCAGTGCAGCCTATCAGTGCCCATCAGTGCTGCCTATCCATGCCACCTCATCCGTGCCCATTAGTGCTCCCTATCAGTGCCCATCAGTGCTACGTATCATTGCAGCCTCATCAACGCACATCAGTGAAGGATAAAAGTTACATGTTTGCAAAATTTTATAATAGAAACAAAGAAAAACCTTTTGTTTTTCAAATTTTTTTGTTTATAGTGCAAAAACTAAAACACCCAGTGGCGATTAAACACCATCAAAAGAGAGCTCTATTTGTGTGAAAAAAATTATAAACATTTCATATGGGTACAATGTTGCATGACCGCGCAATTGTCATTCAAAGTGTGAGAGCGCTGAAAACTGAAAATTGGCCTGAGCAGGAAGGGGGTAAAAGTGCCCAAGTGGTTAATCAAAATAATTGGACTCCATGAACCCAGCAGAACTCTCCCATGCTTCAAACAATCCTCCCCAGAATTCTCATTTTATAAATCCAGCAATACTCTTAGCTCAGGTGATAACACATAGATCAGTGTTCAAAAAGATGCAAAAGCTGACATCACTGAGGTATTTTTATTAAAAAAGAAAGAAGAACATTTACTCACACTGAATAACTGAATAAAATCACAAAAATCACTTTTACGTGGTTGTAAAGGGTGAAGGTTTTTTACCTTTATGCAGCCTTCATTGTGCAGCTCCCCCCTTAATACTTTCCTGAACCCAGTCTTCATCCAGCGCTGTGTGCTCTCTCTCTCTCTCCTCATTGGCTGAGACACAGCAGCGGGAGCCATTGACTCCTGCTACTGTCAATCACAGCCAATGATGAGGAGCAGGGGAGAGACTGAGCCATGCTTTGTGTGTCCCATAGACACATAGAACTGGCTGAGAAGCAAACACAGCACTTGGCAACGGGAGGCACAAAACATGCCAGCGGGGGGGACCCAAGAAGAGGAGTAATGGGGTTGCTCTGTGCAAAACCATTGCACAGAGCAGGTAAGTATGGCATGTTTGTTATTTAAAAAAAAAAAAAAAAAAAAAACCTTTAGAACCACTTTAAACACATTCCAATTCAGCAGTATGGAAAAACTATCTCTTACAAAGTATGGCCTGGAGAGTTTTACCATGCAGGCAGAGATGGGAGGTTGCCACATTTGAAAGATGTCAGCTTTTGTATCTTTTTAAGCACTGATCCACACTTTATCATCTGAGCTGAGATGAGTGCTGAATTTACCGAGTGATAATTCTGGGGTGGGTTGTTTGAGCCCTGGGAGAGTCCATCTGGGTTCATGGAGTTCAAATAATTTCATTAAGGGCCAGTTCACACCACATGCAGTCCAGTGCATTTTTGTTCTACATCAAAAATGCAAAAGTAGAACAAGCTTCATTTTTTCTGCACTGGGCTGTACTGGAATGTGGTAAAATGAATCAGAACACCCCAGAATGCACCAACATGTACAGTGCACAAAAAAAAAAAATCATCTAGAATGCATTCAGAAATGCATAAAAAATGCAACAAAAATGCACTTGAATGCATTAAAAACACATGAAAAACATGCATGCTGAAATGCATCCAAAAGAGATGTAGAGTCCTTTTTTGTGCTGTGAATCAATCCTTAAGGTACAATAAAAACTTTCTAATTAGAGTCAATACAAAGGAGAGAGTGTGCCCAAAAGGTGATTGATGGAGGTGTTTGCTATCACACAATTTGTTCTCATGGAGTTGAACAGTTTATGTGGACTTGATCATGATTGGTGGGTTGTATAAAAATCTTTTTCTCAGACATTTGTATGTAGAATTGGTATATATGGTGATTTGGAATCATAATTAAACACATTTATATGTACCACTATTTTGATTTGGTTGTTGTTTTTGTGGTACATGAATTAGCGCAGAATTATTCTATACACATACAGTACATAGAGTGATTTTTCACTTTTGTGCTGGCAGCTTTAGTTTAATTTACATCTGGTTCACATTTCTTGCACAGGCTTTAGCCAGCTGTTGGCTGATTCTGGGTCATAGGCATGCAGAACTAAGTGCACTCCTGTGACCCAGAAGAGAAGTATGGCCTAAAAAGCTTTGTCCATTTTTCTCTTTTAACCAGTACATTTTTCCAGCTTCAATTTGGATCAGCAATGCACCGCTGAATTTCTGGAACTATCCAACGCCTACCATACTGCAGATCCCCGTATTGGGTCTTACCAGCAGCTAATGGGCAGTTCTCTTGTCACCAGAAAGTGACTTGGGCACTGTGAACTAACAGGGGAGAAAGGGAAGCGCCAACCAAGTGTACCACAAGGAATGTTTATTAAAAACACGATTGCAAGCAGCGATTTAAGATGGCCATGAGTTCATCTTGTTCCTCATTGCTCGGACACATCCACTATCATTCCTACCCACCTGGAGGGCACGATTTTCTCCCTTCTTCCCTGCTTCGGCCCCTAATGGGGAATAAAAATGGTGACTACCTGAGCATCTAGCACCAAAACTGTGGACCAGAACTCAGATGAACTCTTCCCACCGGACGCATCTTTGAAGCTTTGGCCATGAGTTCAGACCCCTTCCCACTACCACTTTCTGAGGACTCTGATCTGCTCCCTGCATTGAGAGACAGCTGAGAGGAGACTGTGTGACCATAGCAACCCACCAAACCTCCTTGCTCATTTCAAAACAATGCTGCAAATGGAACTTTCAGCTGCAACCTGTAAATTGGTGGTGCAACTCACGAAAGAGATAAAAAAAAAAATCGTTCACGCACCTAAAAGAGAAAATGGATGATACAGCCACAGTATTGGAAAAACCATGAGCAGGCCTGACTGATCTCAAGAAGGAACTAGAGGTAGCCTTTTATGCTTAGACGTTTTCGAGAACAGGTCCCATAGAGGTAATCTATATCTCCGGGGCATTCCGGAGACCATAATTGATCTCACTTCTACCGCCACAGCTTTCTTTCCAAGAACTTGGGCCTACTATACCCATTGACAGACTAGAATTCAATCACATTCATCACGACCTGGGACCCAAGAAGCCTGCAGGTCAGCCATGCAATATTGTCATCAGATTCATATATTACCACACCAAAGAGACTTTTCTATGAGTGGTCCGAGACAAGTCGAACCCAGGGGCGGACTGACCATTTGAAAAATCGGGCACTGCCCGAGGGCCCGGGGTCAGTAGGGGGCCCCATGAGATGCCCCTGGTACCTTTTTCATAGGCTTTTTTAAGTTTGGGCAAGGACACAGGGGCCCCATGATCCCCTATTGCCAGGGGGCCCCATGAGTTGTCAGTCCACCCCTGGTCGAACCTCACTTTCCAGGGTAACCGTTACCAACTCTTTGCGGACCTCGCTCCAACCACTATACTGAAGTGCAGAGAAATTAAGCTCTTTACCTCTGCACTGCTGAGCCATCAAATCCGATACAAGTGGGGCCACCCATACGATCAGTACCCCAGACAAAGCCAGAACATCAAAGAGTCGTTCTGTCTGCTGTCATCCATTGAGAATGTCCAGAGCCCAGCATTTCCATTCATCATCAAATCTCCCAGGATGGGCATGGGTAAAGGCAAAAGTATGTAAGCGTTCTCTTCCATGCAGCCAGTCAATGACCGGCTCTCCAAGATAACACCCAGAATGATCCCTGCAGCAGTAAGGTATATGCTATTTTGTGTTCTTCATGGATGTGAACCCTGTTTGTTGAATGCCATGTACTGCCCATGGCTGGGGGGATGGCATCACTCCCCCCAGTTCTCTTTGTTGTTACTGTTTATATATACAGTTGGGCCTTTCCATCCTTTATCTCTTCTGCACCTCAGCCTGCAGAACTGCAGGAAGTCTTCATTGCTCCACCATCTGCGCATTGGGGAACCCGGGGTCCTATTGTTCCACACCTGAGTTCCACAGCACTCAATCAATAGATACAACAGGCTGCCACAGTCAACCTTACATCCACCATTCACCATGCATGCTTTCCTCTTGGGCAGCCCCACTAACTGCTGTTGTGAACACTTACATCATAACCAGCTCGGCACTGACTGTATGTACCACTTTTTTTATATTTCACCGACAGTTTTGATGGGATTTCCCACTACACCGCCAGTGAAGCTCTCCAGCTGCTGCCACCTAAATTTTTCATGATGTGCCATCATCTTTTGGTATTGTTTATACTGTCCTTGCTTTCACTATTGTTGTACTAACATAGTGTATCTATCTCTGTTTCTTATTTTAGAGATTTGTTAAGGTATTGACAATGGCAGTAGAAGTCCCATTCATTTTGATATCTAGAATTTGGGGTAATAATGCTGCCCCTGCAAGAAGATATAAGATATTTCCTTAGTTTAGATGTTTTATTATTGTACCACTACCCCCTTATGGGTTGTTTAGTAATTTTCGGGCTCCCTGTCAATCTGGACCTTCTTCTGAAAGCCCATCCTCTGCTGTCACTTCCGCTCTCTTGTGACCAGAATAAGTCACCACTGTAAAATTTATTCACACACAAGTTAGTGTAAATCAATATTAGGTTTATACTGAATGTGAACGTAGCTTTGTCAAAGCAGCACAAAGTAACATTGGCATATGCAACAAATATAATCACTCTTGTCAACTTTAAGTAAAAGTAACAGCATCCACAGTAAAGTATCAACTAGTGTTATCAGGCCTGCATTCAGGGATAATCCACTGCCTCCAATCTGAGTTAACTCTTGAATCCCCAGCGAGCGAGAAGAAGAACTATCAAACCAGCAAGGCTAACTTACTCTGGGCCCTCAGGACCTGATGGCAGGGATTTATCCTGATATAAAAGAGCTCTTTACCCCGGGAGTAACCAATGTTTATTTAAGTGCAGTGAAGAGTCTTCTGCGCACGTGATGGGTCCCAGTTGGTGCACAATAGGAAGAAGTGTGAATAGTGATTCTCTGAAAAACAATGCAATAAACTAAAAGAGGAACAGCACTTCCCCTGCAATTGGCAGTGGACTGGTGTAATGTCCCTGTAAGTGCACTGGTCACTAGTGACTTTGAAGAGATAAGGATGCTGAGTTGGCA